TAACCTTTTCTACGATAATCTCCTAAATAATGTGATAAAATATAAAATAATGTAACAGAAAAAGTTGCTTACAGAATAATAAAGCCAAATGTGCACACAAAACTATTGCATAATGAAAAAAATGATAGATATAACAACAAAAACATAAAAAATACGTAAAACTTATGAAAAAAATTTACTTTGCAACCCAAAATTCTTAAAATGTAATATTACATGGCCGTCCTTGGCGTGATCTGTCAGTCGACTGGGGAGCCGAGGAGGGGTTCAAATGCGAGTCTCTGCATGATAGCAGCTCAATCTGATAACGTCATATTTACGAAATATCGCAATGGTTCATAGTGTACTACTGGTTCCCTGTTGGACCTACCCTACGTGATGAATGCTATATACAAATATATATTGTACAGTTGCGAGCTTACTCTTCTGTTTACATTTCTTCAGTCAAGGACGTTAAGCATTGCTACTCTTATTTCTGAACTGTTATTAGTTTCAGTCGCATAATTATGTGTTAGTCTGTTGGATCATTTCGGCAAGATTTTGTGATTTTTCAATATGCGTTTTGCACGAATTTATTAATATAACATATAATTCTAATTCTTTGTGGAATTTCTTGTGCGAGAAAAAAGTCGTTCGTAATGAAATAACATGTCCAAGATGCGCAGGGAATGAAAAGTTACTTTTTAAAAGTAACAAGTTACAGTTACTCGTTACCGAGTAGGAAAAGTAACAAGTTACCGTTACTAGTTATCGATTTGTAAAAGTAACTCGTTACAATTATCGTTACTTGAGAAAGTAACTTTTCGTTACTTTTCCGTTATTTTTTTTTAAATCGACCATCAATTACAGCGGACGGGCCTATAAAGGGCTTCTCTAGTCCCAAACTAGAGCTATGCACTGTAAAAAGTTGTTGTGTAAAATTACAACTATCACCTGGATAATTTTGAGATTTATTATAATAGTTGTAAACGTCCACACGTTTGTAAAAATAATTTCGTGGTTGTAACTAAAGCAGATTGTGGAAGTACAATTACAATGTGTATGTTTAGTTACGGGGACGATAATATGACAATACATTTCGCACTATATATTATTATATATTTAACAGCAATACACGAAAAATTTCTGTTATATTACGTAATATTACTAAAATTTGGATAATTACAGAAAATATTCAAAATATGCTATTTACAGCAATATAAAATAAAATATATTTACACAATAAAAGCAAATTTACATAAGTTTTGTGGAATTACTTAGTTTCTGTAAAATTACACGATTTTTTATATTTACAGGATTAATCATGTAATCTATTTTACATCTATTATATGTGTAAATTTTTTTACAATGTAAGTGTCGTATCGTGTCCAATTATGTGCAAAGTAACGATAAAAGTAACTGTAAAATTCGTTACCGTTACCAAAAAAATGTAACTTCGTTACCGTTACAGTTACTATAGAAAAAAAGTAATGAAGTTACCAGTAAAGTTATCAAAAAAGTAACTTGTAACTGTAACTTCGTTACAGTTACAAGTAACGAGTTACTTCCATTCCCTGCCAAGATGTGAGAATTTGATAGTACTAGCTAATATCTCCGAAAATCGCTTATTTCATTGCGCAAAAACGTATTATAAAATTATTAAAGCTCGAAAGCGACGAAGAATAACGTGCAATTTTAAAATTAATGCATATCATGAAACATGATTTGAATGAGCACATATGGATCTCGCCAAAATTTATCATTTTGTTGCTTATTTTTTAATGATGCAGCCACCACGATACATATTCTTAATGGTTGAATTACAAATGAGTAATAGTAGTGTAGTTAATCGGACGAATTTTTGTCGAGAGGTTTAAATTACAAAATTTTAATTTACATTATTTATTGATATTTACCTTTATGTAATGTATGTTTATTAAATTAACTATAATTATTACAACAATGGATTGTTAATAAACAAGAGCTAATTGGTGGACCGGAGAAAATTGTCGAAATAGATGAGACTAAAATAGGCAAGAGGAGTACAATACTGGACGCATTATTCGAGGGCAGTGAGTTTTTGGTGGCGTTGAGCGTGATACTAAAAAAGCTTTTATTTTGCCTGTATCGAATCGAAGTACCGAAACACTTTTACAAATTATTCGTCAATATATTGCTCCTGGTACAATTATTCATACAGACAAGTGGCGCGCATACGATGCTTTACGCAATGAAAATTATGTGCATCAAACAGTTAACCATTCGACTAACTTTGTGGATCCTGAAACTGGTGTTCACACACAAAATATTGAAAGATTGTGGAGAGACATGCGAGCAAACATTCCTCGCTATGGCACACGTGATTACCATTTTACAAATTATCTTGCCGAATTCTTATTTAAACGAAATCATAGCTATGACAAGCATTAATGCTTTTTTTGAAATAATGAACTCTATGTATCCCATAGATTGTTTAAATATTGATTAAATTTCTTGTTTTGCATATACTTTGATTATTTTTTACATTACAAAACCCCTATGTAGATATGTAGTATTTAATATTGCATGTATAGCTGAAATAATACGTTATATTTCAAACTTTTTTTGTTAATAACTTTTTAAAGCAGAAAATTTTTGTTTTATATAGCAGAATTTTTTTCGCATTACTGTTAACAACTTTTTAAAGCGGGGAATTTATTTTAAAGCAGAGAATAGTCGTGTTATACAGTTGAACTTTTTAACGAAGGACGAACGATGGTTAAAACCTGTTGGAGATCTCACTAAGGATCATGACCTTGACAACATATCTCAAGATCAAGGTCATCGGGGCTCCTCTATTCGGGAATTTTATCTTTAATTTTTTTTAACCAAATTGAAGATTATTTTTTTTACAAATTCAACCATGTGTAATACAGTTACAATACGACATATCATTTTCGAGAATTAATTATTAACGCTTCCGTATATACGCTATCCATGCTCATATGCAAAAGTAATTGTCATCGGAACAATAAAATACATAAATCAACGAATAAGGAAATTTACATGATTGACATTTGTAACATTACAAATTATAAATAATGTTAAGAGTTATAATAATTTTTATTATTTCTTCTTAAAGTGAATAAAATTTTCTTATTCATCTCTGTACATTAATATAATATCTTAAGATTATTCTCTTAAAGTTATTTTCAGTTTTACGCTTTAATATCTTATTTACTTATTTTGTATTGTTTACTCATTATACTCATTACAATAATGATACTCGATGAAAAAATGTTTTAAACATAATGATTTCTTGCACCATGAACATTTTACTACAGCTATATTACTGCAATCTCCGATATCACATATTGTTAAACTTTTGTCAAAACTAAACTCTACTGAATTTTCAAATTCTTCTAGTTTTTCGTTTGTATAACCACTTTTAAACCACGAATATTTAAATAAGTTGTGATATCGTGGGGATGACAATTGATTATGTATCAGAGATTGTAATTTTATTATATTATTTCGTTCACGTAAATTTATATTACTTTCCAATAATAAAACAGTATCTGAAAATCTTTTAGCAAAATTTTTCCAAATTCTAAATCCGTAAACATTTAATGCTAGTATTTTGTTGTGTCTTTCTGTATAATCATAATAGTAATATGTTTTCCTGCAGGTGTTAAATCTGAAATAAAATATTGGGACAATGTTCAGTCATGAATCGATAAGAAGAACACTATTAGAACCAATATTTGGAAAACTCTTAAAATCCGCAATCAATATAAAAATGTTTATCTAATAAAACCAAAGAATGCGAGTAAAACTTTTCAAAACCTCGAGTTCTTACTTTTCGAATTCTTAAATTTAAGAAAATTACGGGTGGTGAAGGTATTTTGTTAAACAAAAAAATAAAAGAATTTTTTTTCTTTATAGTACTCCTGAAATCGTACAACTTTTATTAAAAAAATTTTTTTCTATCTTTTATACTCCCGACGATATTCGACTCGAAAGAAAAATACCGTTTTTTTTCAAAGGGGTGTTTCACCCCTTAAACATAAGTTAGCGCATATAAAAAAAAATACGTGTCTATTAGATTTTCGTGATTTACAACATATTTCATGGAAAATCAAATCGGTTCCGGACAGTTGTAAAACTTCTATTGTTAATTGGACAGCATGGCCATTTTCTGCATCTTTCTCTGTTTTGTGCACCGCTTAGCCAGGAATACGATCAACATTGTAAAGTCGTATAGACAACATTGCGTAAATCTTATATTGTTTCTGCGATAGGAATTAGTTTTAAGTATATATAAGATCTGCTGAAGATGAGACTAAAATATATATCCGAAACGTACGGAATTTTTGTGTATAATACTAAATTATTAAAAGTTTTAAAATTATTATAATAGAATATTGCGCATTGTTTACCGCGCCAACTCCAATTCGCCTCTTGATCAGTACGAATTTGATTGAAGAATAAGGAGTCCCACAAACTAATCAATTTAATTAGTTTAATTTATTATAGTTTATGATAATTAATAAACTTTATTTAACACGAATAATAAAAATAAAGAACATTTTGAACCTTACTTATTGTTAGATTTCTTTAGCTGTAGATATTAAATAGTAAAAAAACACAATACATTATGAACAGAAATAATTAGATAGAAACAAAATTAAGAGCAAAAGCCACATCTATTGGAACGCTAACATAAATGTAAGCTAAAATTAAAGATACGTTATTTAAATATGTCTGTGATGAAAAAAGAAGTTACATGTCGAGAAATTTTTATGTAAAGTAAAATGTTTAGAAATTTTTGTAAAATCAATACTGGTTCTTCGTTCAGTGACGAGAAAAAGTAAAATTAGTGGATGAAATTGGTTAATCATCCCAAGGAAAAGCATTGTACCCCAGTCACCGAATTCAATTTAATTAGAGGAATTCTAATAAAAAATAAAAATTGTAGTTAAATTTGATATGCAAGCGAATAACTTTTGAGAGAGAAAATATGGCTTATAAATTTATATTTGTAGAATCGGTGCAAGAATCTTTAGAGCGTAGGTTTGGTCGTGTCGGTGGCCGTATTCCCGTTACACCATCCGAAGCCTTCCAAAAACGTATATCTGGCGCTTCTGAAAAAGATATTGTCCATTCTGGTCTAGACTATACAATGGAGAGATCTGCTAGGGTAATTAATTAGATTAATATAAGTTAGACAAAGTATAAAATATTCAACTCAATTCTAAACATTTTTTGTTTAATATAGGCTATTATGAAGACTGCCATGAAATTCAATCTCGGACTCGATTTAAGAACAGCGGCATATGCCAATTCGATTGAAAAAATATTTACTACTTATTCGGAAGCTGGCCTCGCTTTTTAAATATATTATTATATTGTATGTATGCAGCAAGTATCGTATTAATGTGCGATAAAGATGAAGTCAGTTTTTATCGTAAAAACCGCAAGAGGTTTAAAAGATAATTATGAGTAACGATTATGTCAAGTAATAAAGGGCAAAATATTCAAAAATTGCGATGGAATATTTGATGCAAAATTATCACTTTTGTCGTGTTTTGCATTGTGACGGTTTGCCTAGTTACTGCAGATAAGAGTCGTATAGACCGGATATTATACCATTAAATAATAGCACGAGATAAAAAAAAATCGACCATTTTTTTTCTAAGATAGAAAAGGTCCAATGCATTTTTATATTTCAATTTTTATGTATAGATATGAAGAAGTATTATTATATAAAGCTGCCGTTGAGACAATTCGCTATTTATAAGTAGCGGATTTATAATTCATTATTCTCTTGAATATGCCATTTTGACGATATTGTTGTATTTCTAATATTGCACTTATATAAAGAAAATTATTTACGATTTTATCTTACGACAAGAAATTGACTCTTACAGAGCAAAAAGAGCAATGAGCGATATATCTGGTCAGATATACAATGTTATGCAACATAATTGTTATACATATATGATATTCTGTTAATAAAGATACTCAATTCCGAAAGTAAATTGTCTCTTTCATATACGAATGCATAATATACATCATTTGTGACTGCATTTGGTACATCATATGACATGCTATTGTAATACATAAGTATGTAATAACAAGTATGTACCCAGATAGCAAAATGCTAGCAGTATGCCAGCGATATGTTGGCAAATTCAATCACAATTGTAGAGCAGATCCCTGTCCACTGCGTTTCCTTTAAGTTTAGTTTTTGTTATCATGATTTGTCAAACATAATATAACAACAGAAAATCAGCAAGAAATGGAGCATATCTTACTAATATGATAGCAGAAACAAAGATAGAACATGGATTGTCATATCAGATACTGATGGCAGAAATACAGCAGAAATCGTGCATGATGTGCTGTTACAATGTGACATCAGAAATATGGCAAAAATATGTAGATAATCGCCTGTTATACTAGACACTAATGGCAAAAACACAATAGAAATTGTGCACAATGTGCCCTCATGTCACGACATGACATAAGAAATGTGGTAAGATTTAAAGGCCTTCTACAATAAGCCATAGGTCATTACTCACATGACATTAGTGTTAAGTCAGAATTATAAGTCATAAATCTTAAGGAATTTGCATCCACAATAAGTTATATTAGATCGTTGCATCATAACAATTCAGCCAATCAAAAAGATGGCAGTTCTCAGGATAGACGACAAGACTATATGTTTGCACATTCTATGTTCATACTGCTTTTATTAGTGTTAGAAGGCCCATTATATTTTGAAATGTTCTTTTTGTCCTTTTAATAGATTGTTGTACATTTTAAAGTGTATTTCAATTTGATTATTTTAGATATTTATTTGAATGTATAAAGTTTTCCGTATACTTCAGCTAATACACAATCAATTACAATTCGATGTTATTAATCTCAATATTAAGATAATAGGCCTATGAGATAAGTATTTATTTCAAATCTGTATTCACAAACATGCACTAACAAGTAATATTACGCAGAGTATTGCAACATTTGTGAAACACATATGAGAAAATAAGTAAAATACAAAATTATTTATTCTATAGATATTGCAAAGATATATACTTTTCTCAAAGGAACATACACATACTTTATCCAATACACGTAACGTAAAAGTTGATTTCTGTCAAGGACATGTTTTACTTCCTTCTCGTATAGGGGTATTTATTTTAAAAATATACTTTTTTTATTTTATTACATATTACAACATACAATTAAAATTAGAGAGGAAAAGGGTATTTGTGTATTTTTCTTTGTGAGTTCCTCAAAAATTTTCCTGTTAAACTACTTTAATTCACATATTTTTGAATTATATATAACGTATCGTATATTACAGGAGATAATACATATAATAAAGCCACTCACAGCACATTTTCAACATTTAACATATAAAGTAATATGACACTTTACTCGATATCTCTCATCCATATATGATTTACATAAAAAAACAATCCTTTGCACAAATGCAAATTACATTAATAATACGTAACACAATTAGTAGTATTGACGATTATATGTGTGTGATACATAATATTTTGAAAAACAAATAAAAAAACCTACCATCCGCTAGGAGTGAAAGGGTAGGTAACTTTAAAATTTTAAATGAGAAAACCCCCATGTTTTATTGCAGATTTCGCTTCTGCAGAAAAAGTCATATTAACCCTTTAA